GGGGAGGGGAGAGGAGAGGAGAGGAGCAAAAATATGAACAATAAAATATATTGAGAAATTGTTAAATATTGAGAAACCGAGAACATTAAATGAACCTGCAAAGAGAGCACAGAATAGTTGAAAACTTTGAAGTTAACCCAAGAACTAGCTCCATAATTTACTAAACCATGTGCCTTAAGGAAGGTTATTTTATTCCCCTAAGACTATACCTCATCTATACCTACCTTAAAGGGATATGTGAGGATTAGAATTAATATAGTGAAATGTCTTCCATGTATCTGAAATGAGTGATTATTATTGTGTAGGAACAAAAGTACAACCATATGTGACACTATTTAAAAAAAAAAAGAGACAACAGTTTCTTTAAGGCCATAATAGTATTTTTCATCTTGGTATCCTCAACATCTAATTTGTACAAGTTTCAACAAATATTTGCTTAAATGAACCAAATATGATTTGAGAGAAGTTAGCAAAATAGTGGCGGGAGAATTAAAATATAGACTTTGCATGTAAAAATCAAGTAGAAATAATTGTAGATTAAATTTTTGGGAAATCTTACAGAAAACAGCAATTGGATATATGAATGTTGGATTGAAGAAATGTGTTATTTAATTAACACATTTTTATTTATTTTAATGAAAGTTTAAATAAGAAAACAGAACAGACATGAAAATGTAAGATGGGAGATTAAAATTGATGATATAAACTTTCTGTTAAAATGGTTTTTAATAGCTCCCAAAGCAGTGTTTTCTAACTTCCTAATAAAATACCCAGGAAAATATAAACAAAACAAAACAAAAACCTATACTACTAGCCAAAACTGAAAACCACAATCATATACCAGGGTTTAGGAGGAACCAAAGTTAATTATGAGATAAATGGAGGTAAACTAAGAAATAAAAAAACAAAACCACCAAATATATTAAGTACCTTGACAACTTTGCCTAAGAAGCACAAGTCACATAGAGAAAGAAAAGGCGGAAAACCACTATCTTTCCTTGGATGTGAAGGCCTACAACCCAAACCAAATAAAAAAGGGATGCTATCCTCATCTACACTACAGATAGAAATAGTTAATCCCCCTTTACCCTGTTGCCTCCACTGACATTTTTTAAGATCTAGGCAAAGACTACAAATCACAAAATGTAAATGGTAGGAAAGTGGGGAGTGAGGTA